CATCAGCTGCCTCCTGCAGTCCACTGGGGATTGAGTCCGCAACCTGGGCATGTGCCCTTGACTGGAATCGAACCCAGAACCCTTCAGTCCACAGGCCTATGCTGTATCCACTGAGCCAAACCAGCTAGGGCTTCATATTTTTTATATCTCCTCCTCCTCTTTCTCCTCCTCCTCCTCCTCTTCTTGGAGTTGTCTTCTTTGAGGGGGACCACGGGGCACTGGAAATGGCACCAGCCTGGGCACAGGACACCTGGGTCCCGTCCTAAAGCTGCCTATTCCTGGCACTGGGACTCGGTGCCAGCCCTTCAACACCCAGGGCTCCAGACGTGAAATCAGGTCTTATAAGATCAGCGATGCCTCTCTCCCGGTGGAGGTGAAAACCCAGTGAGGTAACAGGTGTGAAAGTGCTTTGTTGAAAGGTAAAGGGTGGAACAGATGGTTGGGTTATTCTGATTATTCTAATAACACAAGGGATTAGTAAACGAATTCAACGGATTAATGTTCATCCAACTCTACTTGTACCGACAGCTTCCCCATGGAGCTGACACACTGTGACCTAATCCTCGTGAAGCCACTCTGCACTCTACCCATCATGCTCGCCACCCCCCAGCCCTGCACTGACCCCTCTTCTTCCATTTGTCTCTGGCAAAGCCTGGCTCCCCTCTGAGGCCCCAGCAGCTCACTCCTCCCAGTATGACCCCCCCTCTTTCTTTCCTCCTTGCAGATTCCCCACCCCATGCTCCTAGTCTAAACTTGTCTTTCGCATGTACTGCCTGGAAGAGAGAGGGCTGGTCCGGGAGCCAAGAGAAGTGAGTGTTGTAGGGTGACCAACCATCTTTGCCCAAGATTTACGAGGCCCCCCAAGAAGTGGGAATGTCAGTGCTTAAACTGGGAACGTTCTGGGTAAGCTGGATAAGTTGGTCACCCTAGCCTTGACCAAAACCACACTTTGTTGATATGCCATCATCTTGCCAGGAAACCCAGGAACAAATCACTTAACTCCTTTAGGGTTCAGTTTTCTCATCTGTAGAAGGAGGGGCTTGGAATTTCACTAGATCTTGTTTTAGTTTCTTCCAGCTCTCAAGTTTTGAGCCTGGAGGTCCTTTACTCACTGCACAGATGTTTACTGAATGCTACCATGTGCCACACACCCTGCTCTTCCTGTGAACTGTGGCATCCTGGGCACACAGCACATCACACATAGTAGGTGCTCAATAAAGACCTGTGGGAATGAATGAACACACTGCCCACCCCCACACCCCCATACCTGCTTTGCCAATCTATCCAAAACCTCTGCTCACATATCTGACCCCCCAACTCCCCCATTTCTGCTTTCCCAGTCTATCACCCACAAGCCTCTGGGACCTGTGACTATGCCCAGAACCCTGGCCAGGCTGAGTTGAGCTGAACACTCCAATGAGGGCGAGGACAGTCTGGTGACTGCTCCTGCTGGCGGTGGAAGTTTACCTTGGGTACCGCCACCCAGGAGATGTCACCAACATGAGTTTATCCCCCTGGTGGATCCTGGAGCCCCATCACAGTCGCCCTTGGAGCTCATCTGAGCAAAGGGCCAACACACAGGATTGCTCCAGGTGAATGTCTGCCCCTGGTCACCTTCTGTCCCCTAGGCATCTGCTTCCAGCCACCCACTCCTTCCCCACCTGGCTCTTGGGGCTCTGCAACCAGACCATCCAGTTCCCAATCTGGCCCGACCACTGCCTTGAATGCTGGATGACCTTGGACAAGTTATTTAACATCTCTGAGCTTGAGGTTCCTTAATTTGATAACAATAGAACCTCTTTTACGGAGTTAGGGTGAGGATGAAGTGTACCCAGAGAGCTCTCAGAGGAGAGGGGAGCAAGTGCTGTTATTGTTATCAGAGTCGCAATCATGGTCATCCCCACTCCCAGTTTGGTGGGAACAGTCAAGGACATGCTCCACCTAGGTGCATGTCTCTCACAGGGAGCGCAGAATCTCCTCTGCTCCAAGAAGCCTTCCCAGACCACCCTAGGAGAGCAGCTAACGGAGTCCATGTAGCCAGGACCTTCACTCTCCCACCCCCATAAGCAGCCCTGCTTCTCTCCAGAAGTGAGGGACCCCTCGTCCCAGCTCTGTCTAAAGCTTCAGTCCTGCTGTTCCAACCTTCCTTCCCCCCCTGCCCAGATTAGCTGGTCTGTCTTGGAGACCAGAGAGAATTCCTTGACCGTAGCACCGAGCCCTGCTCTGCCCCAGATGCTTCACCCAGGTTCAGGGAGGACCATGAGAATGGCAGAGAGGTGGAGGGCCTGGGGAGATGATCAAAGGCGGGGCCCCTAGGGAGCCACACTTACCAATGTAAACACGACTGCTCCCAGCACGGCATACACTGCGTGGAGCCAGGGCACCTATGGGGCGGACGAACAGTGGGCTTAGGGCTGGCAGATGGGGCGGTGGGGCAAAGGGGCAGGGAGGAGGGCGCAGTCCAGAGAATGGAGGATGTGGGACAGACCTTCCTAGTGGGACCCTCCCTCACTGCCCCCCACCCTCCCCAGATGTTCCTAAGAAATGCCAGGTCCCCAGCAGGGATCCCCGATTCTGTGTGTCCAGGGTGGGTGGGGGGACCCCAGGCTAACAGTGATCCTGGAGGGCCCGGCAGGGAGCGCCCAACCTGACCTGCTCCTGTTCTCTCCACACAGCCCCAGGCTCAGGCAGCACCAGAGTGACTTCCCGCTGGCCTGTCATTCTCCCAGCCGGGAGCTGCCCTGGGGCTGCTCCTCCCTCCCTGCCCTGCACAGAGTCCATCCGTCTCTGTGGGGAGTTCCCAGGCTCTGCCTGTGCTGGAAAGGGGCTGGGGTGGAAGGGGACAAAGGCTTGAACTCAGGGGTGAGGTGGGGTCCATGTGGAATTCCTGCCGGCTGTGCGCGAGGAGGTTGCCTACAGAGGCTGGAACAGCACTCCTTCCCAGCCTCAGTCCCTGAGGTCGCAGGGGCGCCCTGTGGAAACCCTATGAGAGGTACCACATCAGCTGTGCCCCCTATGGGGCCGTCCCCCAGAAGATTCCTGGAAACACAGGCATCCCAGCAGCCTGACAGGGTCAATAAAGGGTTCTTTGAAGCTCTGGGGCCCCTCCCTGTACCCCCAATCCTAGATACACAGAGGGCCCCAGGCCAGCTCCGGCCCCTCCCTTCGTCAACCGGATCCTGGGAAGAGCCAAGGAAATGCTAGAACCGATCCAGCTGTCCTGTGAGCAAAGCGCTGGGGGCTGGGGAAATGGGAGTGAGGAATACAGCTGCTCCCAACCTGGCAGAAAAAGGTGGGGCTGACCAAGTACCAAGAGGAGCAGGGGTGCGTAGAAGACTGAGCCTCCAGTGGGGGTCCAATAATTTAGCTTCATCTCTTGGGTCCCCAGGATCAGAACCTCAAACCCCTCCTGTGATGCCCTCAACCTGCCCTCTTTTCCACCAGCAGAGGCGTTAGTTCCCCTAACGGGTCACTGAGCCCTGGGAAGTCGTAGTGGGATCTCCCAGAGCAGGCTGGGCTGTGCAAGAGCTGAGATTTGGCTGCCCCATGGATGTTCCAATGGGGTGGGGACCGCTGCTTGCCTGACCCCCACCTGCCTGGCTGCCCAGAGTCTGTCCCTCTGGACTTGGCTGATCTTCCAAGAGTCTCAGGAGGCCCTTCCTCAGGACCCCTCAGGGTCTGGCAGCCCCACGGAGCTCCAGAGCACCCTTCCCTGCCAAGGATTTAAATGCTCCGTGGCACACTCCCCTCCAGCCCCCCCGCCCCAGGGGAGGATGGGAAAGGTGAAGCCGGATGTGGCTCACGGAGCAGGCAGGTGCCCAGGCCTGCTGAGAAAGGCCTCCTTGTTGGTTTGCTTACACTGCCAACGAGCCCAGGGCAGGTGCCAGGAGGGGCCGGGTAGGATGGCAGGCTGGGAGCCTCTGGCTCTGGGCCTTGCCTGGACGGTGTGGGAGGAAACAGCACCCTCTGGCCGGCGGGCTCCCTCCCTCCCTATGGGGCCCCCCGGGAGCCCCCAGACTCACATATTGAAAGGGCAGGAGGATGGCCAGGATGAGTCCACTGAAGAAGAGAGTCATGAGCAGCACGAAGAGCACACCCTGGCAGGAGGTGAAGTCAAACTGCAAGGGTGGGGGAGGCCAGCTGCTGTGAGGCCCGGCCACAGGCCACCGCCTTGTGCTCATGCAGAACCACCATTCCTGCCCCGTCCCCTCTCCCAGGTGCCTCCCAGGCCCCCCTCACCCCCTGTATCTCGCACCAGATGGGGACTGAGCCTGGGCCCCCCGCCCCCCACCGGCCTGCCCACAGGCCCCGGAGCTGACCTTGGTCTGGAAGCTGAAGACGGTGACGGAGAGGCAGACCAGGGCGGTGATGGTCAGGCACACCAGCACCGAGGTGGTGTTGTAGTAACTGCAGGGCACGGGCCGGGGCTCAGCGGGCCTTCGTCTCCCCCGGCCTCCGGCCCGGCCCTCTCTCCTCTGCAGACCCGACCCCGTGAGCTCTTGCCCCCACCCTCTCTCCTTGCCAAGGGCTTTCCTTCTCCTTGCTTCCTGGCCTTTCCCCTGGGCCCTGACCTCCCCAACATGTTAGAAGGATCTGGGAGAGGTGGGAACGGGGGTGGGAGGGGTTGTGCTATTGCCTGTAGGTGGGAACCTCCGTAATCTCAAGTTTGGGTCTTTTAAGCTGCAGCCTGACAGGGGTCACCTTGGTCTCCTCTATCCCCACCCACCAGCCTAGCCAGGTCCCAGGGGCACCATCCAGCAGGGTGTCCAGGGAGAGGGCTCTAGGCCAACGTGTCCTGCACAAGATCCTTCCCTTGCCAAATGCTCCAGGAGGGTGGAGTTGGGGGCATTTCCACCCACAGTGTGGCGAGTCCCTGGCTCTAAGCCTGGCCTACGGCCCCCGTGGCCCCCTGCCTTCCACCTGTCCCCGTTACCTGGACAGCATCCCAGTGAGGTAGGCCATGGACAGGGTCTGGAAGGAAAAGCAGAAACGTTGCACGACTCAGACTCTGGGGCCCAGACACCTTCCAGGTCCAGCCTGGGTCTCCACCCCTTGCACATACCCCTCAACTCTGAGTCGACTTCATTCACACATGGTGCCTCTAGGAGTCGGGCCTGGCGACATAGCATCCCAACAGGCCTCATGCCAGCTGCACCTTTCTTTCATTTGCAGCCCTGCTCTGCCCCTCTTTCTAAGACCTCCCACTCGTCATTATCCAGAGCCGTGGATGGCCCATGCTAACCTCTTAAAAACAAAATGGCAATGAGAAGAGACAGTGGATGGGGGGCGGGGGCGGGGGCGGTGTTGGGCAGGGGATGGGAGGGAGAGACTAAGCCCCTTTGGAAAGAGGGTGGAAGAAGTGGGGCCTGT